CTAGTGCGCATATGTGTACAGTTCTTCAAGTGTGTTGGACAGTATTAGCATATTGTATGTGTGTGTGATTTCCAGGTTATTAGCATTGTGTGTATTTTGGGTCTCTGTGGATTTCATTGCATCACTGGCTCGTTGCAGTCTCAGGATTTGGACTGACTGTGTCTCCAAAGACAGGATAGAGCACTTTGGGAGTGCTTACATTCCTTTCTTTTTTATTCTCATCTAGTGGCCTTTTCTCTTTTCTTCTCCTCCTCCTCCACATCTTCTGCTGTGGGGGTCAAGGCTTGTTTTCTAGACTAAATCTCATCATCTTGGGCTATGAAGAAGGAAGGCCCCTTCGTTAAGAGATCAGCCCTGCTTACAAATCAATGGGCCTGTCCACACACATGAGCCATCTGCACACACTGCCCCAATTCCACTGGGCCAGTCTAATGAAGGTCTGTGTGTGCAAGTATTGGAGCACTTTTATGTTTTATTGCTAAAGTAGACAGAAAAAAGAGATGGAGAAATATATAAATGTCAGTATGATAAGCTATAGTGTTTGTTACAAATGAAGATCTTTGTCTGAAACAGTTGGAAACCCATGCACAATTGTAATAAAACACTGGTAAAACCGTCAACACCATCTATCGCTAGGGATGTAACGATTAACCGCGAGCCGGTTGAAAATCGATTAAAATATGTGACGATTCAAATCGGTTGAGATGCTAAACAAATCGCGATTCATTTAGGTGTAGGAGTTTATATGAATGCATGTCTGAGGGGAACTTACTGTCTTTAGAAAAGTTTAGATGCTATTTTTTCTTTTCATCTTGCCTCTGTATAATGCATATTAAAGTTCATAAGTGCAGCGCTGCTTTGTTTACAGCGGAAACCAAGGAAATGCTTTAAGCGCCACCTGCTGGCAGAGAGTGAATCTGCATCTCGTTCAGCTCGTCTGCTGTTTCATGCAGATATTTTTATGTATAGTTTCATAAAACTGAAGTCAAACCATTCTGTTTTTGCTTCAAATTTCAAAATCATACAGTCTAATTTAGATTAAAAACTGCTCATGTTGCATGTATGCACCACCTTTGTTTGGATCAAGATTAAAATGCAGTGGTTGCCTCTAATTTGAAATGGAAAGAGCACAGACAAAGCCTTAGTTTGTTTATATGAAGAGATTTATTTTATTTGTGTTACTTATTTATTTGATTTGGGGCTTGTTTTAAAATTTCAATGTAGTTTTGTTATTTACATTTACATTATATTTAAATTTTGTCCAAAGCGATTTACAAATGAGGACAATAGAAGCAATCAAAATCAGCAGTAATATGCAAGTGCTATATTAGTATATTATTATAGTGTTATATTTCAATTTCACAAAGAAATATGCAGCATTTTGTCCAAGCAATAATAAAAGGACACATTTAATTTATAATTTGTCTTAAATCTAATTTTGTAATAAAAATAAATAAATTGTGAATCGAAGCGAATCGTGAAATCAAAATCGTGAATCGAATCGTGAGTTGAGTGAATCGTTACATCCCTGTATATCGCAGTAACCCTACTGCAAATATATATATAAAAGCACATAAAATGTGCTTTTTTGGATATATCCTCAAAGTCCTCTTTTTTCGCTTTCACAACTAAACACAGCGCCTTCACGACATGGCGGCGGCGGCAACAACAATACTACAGCAAGAATAAAATGTACGCCTTCTTTCCTTGCGTGAACATTTGGGCGGCGTTATGCAAATCTTCCCACATAGTGATGTAGACATGTGGGAGCGTGTTAGAATGAGGCGTTTTAGGTAGGCGTGGTTGACTCTTACATTTTATAAAGAATATCTCTTTGGATTTGAAACTTTAGTCTTTGCAACTTTACAGATCTTCTTTATGCACCAAGAGCTTGTAACACTCCAAAAGAGAAAGGAAAAATTTAAATCGCATCATATGACCCCTTTAACCTGGTGACTATATGATTTAGTACATTTTATTTCACTTTTTGTGTTCCATGCAAGAAAGTCATACAGGTTTGGAACGACATGGTGACTAATTGATGACAGATTTTTTTTTTTTATCTCTGGCTGAACTGTTCATTCAAGTAAAAATATAACTCATATCTGAGCAGGATTTCTGCTGTTATCCAAACTGAGGATTTTTAGATGAAGCTGGGACCTCATGCTGCCAAAGGAATGAGGAGAGCAGAGGAGAAAAACAGAATGGGAAAGGAGAAGTAGAGCTGCTCTCTGAGCCTCTTATGTCACCGACCCTGCTGAGTTTTTATTGCATAGCCCAAGCAGGATTAGAGTCTGTTGTGGAACAATGTGAAATCCACTCACTAAAAGCAACAAAGTGCTGAGATTGGAATTCACTGAGAGCTGTCAATCCTCATGCCAGAGTCTACATACTGTAGGATTAAATATGCACATACACAAATACTCTCATCAACTGCTTTTCAACAGCTAGCATCATTTTTGGCATCAACGATTTTGCACAGAAAACATTTAGAAGGCTTTGTAATAATACATGAAGCATTCAGAGGCAATTTAACAGCATTGCCTTTCTGTATGCTGTATTGCACAAGAAAAATCAAATATAGGCACAAGTGTATTGGGACACGGAGTTGGAATGAGATCTTGAGCCTGAGAGGCTCTGACTCATCACTTGAACAGATGTGACTTCAGCAGATACAGTCACTGTTGAAGGGTTTCATTAGCTCAGCTTCATCTGGCAGGAAGAGAGAGAGAGAAAGAGATATGATGCATGACAAATAAATCCCTAAATGTGGATGTAAAAAAGATAAACATAAGATTGATTTCAACAGATCAGTTTGAATTCATTTGATATTAATTTAGTTAGACACTAGAGGAGGAAACCGTAAAGCAAGCCAGTCAGATCAGATTGAATATTGTTGTTCTCAAATGCTGCCATTTTTATGTGCAATATGCTTCAGATGGTCTTTACAAAGCCAATGGAAATGCCATCTAAAGCTGAGAGTGGCTTGAATGAAAAAGCATTCACATCAGGGATGGTAAGATTCACCGATTCGCATCATAGCATAAAAGTTAATGCGATGCATCGATTTAAAAAAGTGTGCATCGGATACAAGTTGGCATTTGTATCACGATGCATTGTTTCTAACAAATTTGCATCGGTGAAAACAGATTTATTTATATATAATTATTAGTAGATGTGCTATAATTTTATTATTTAGTAAGTGACCAATAATTAGTGACCAATATTTTATATGTAGATTGATTTGTCCTCTCTGAACTGTTTCTCAAGCGCGTTCTCTCATCAACCGAAGAAATATAAGCGAACTATCTGTACCATATTGAATTGCATAGCATCATTTTTTCCATTGCATTGAATCGCATTGTGCTGAATTGAATAGAAATCGGATCGCTTTTAGGGGTGCATCGTAATAGGGGTGAATCATAACACTTCGCATCGGTAGCTGCTTCATATGTATTTTTAATATATTGTATCGTTGGCTAGTAGGGCTGCACGATTAATCGAATGCGATTGTCATGCGCATTTTGTTAAAAAAGCCGGTTCTGTAATCAGCAGGAAATCATCATCACGTGCTTTCAGATGGAGCAGAATTTACTACACAGAGCCGTAGTTCACTGACAAGTTACGCAAAACAATCGCAGACGATTTTATTGCGCGATTCTGAAATCGAAGAAATCGTTCGCAATAATGACAGCTGTTTGCATAGCTTCTCAGTGAACTACGGCTCTGTGAAGTAAATGCTGCTCCATCTGAAAGCATGTGAAAATACCACATTTAATAACATATTTTTACTCCAAACTCACTTCATAACGTCAGTCGAGTGTTTGAAATAAATCCTGTGAGATGATGTGGCTTCTTACACAGAATAAGGCATGCACCATATTTCATAGTTTTTAAGCAGTGATAAAGGAATTGCATTATAAATATACTTTAATAATAATAATAATAATAACTCGGATAAACCGTATATTGCCGTAGTCGTGTGTTTAGTAGTCACATTGAATCAATGAAAGCAGTTGAATCTTCTGTTTATTCAGCTGCAGCGATAGGCATTTTCTGGGAGATTTACTGCTGATCACAGAACCGTGCTTCACTGAAAGATACGCATGACAATCGCAGCTTCTGTCGAATCACGATCTCGATTCCATTTCGATTTATCGTGCAGCCCTATTGGCTATACATCAAGATGCATATTGCATTGGCCTCAGTTATGGAGATGCACATCCCTAATTCATATATTTTGTCTATAGGGGAAACAATAAGCATGTCCTGTGTGCATTATTACTGTTGTTCTATAACACAGCCGCTGTTTCGTCACCACTGCTTTGGTGTGTGATTAAAGATAGACGTCTGGTTTTGATTTATATTGCATGAATGCAATCATGATCACTCGATAGATTTTTATTATTAATAGCTCACATGGTCTGTTTCTGCAAACCTCACGTGCTTTTCCAGCCAGCTGTCTTTCACCCTCTTCCTTTTTGACAAAGGTTTCCATGGCGACAGGAGTCAGAGGGGTCAGCACCTTTTTAAGGAGCAGCTGGGAAGGGGGAGGGACTCTGAGGTTTATTTTATGGGAGACTAAATTAACCTGTGTACGTGTGAGGGGCCGTTTATAAATGGAGCTGATCATAGTGGTTTTACTTATTTAGGGGTGTTTGCTAAGTCAAGCGGCAATTTTACTATGGCCTCTTTTTGACATGAGCTAGTAAGCAACCATTTAGCAACCACTCAGAACACCTTAGCAACCTCCTAGCGATGCCATATCAGTCAACAGAACGCAACAGCAACCTAGCAACCAGCTAGATCTCTGTAGCAACTGCATAGCAAAGCTATATCATTGCTATATACAAAACCATATCATTGGTTTAAGTGATTAAGCAAAGTCAAATTAAAGAGGATTTTGTTATTCGTGACAACAGACCACAGTGCTTGCTTTTATATTTCGAGTGCAACTCATGTTTATTTGTTACATTTTAATAGACCTGTTGTCTCTGCAGGGTGGTGAAGGAGGAGATATCTGATGACAATGCCAAACTACCGTGTTTCAATGGACGTGTTGTGTCATGGGTAAGTTAGCGTTCACACACACACCTTCACTTCTTCCCTCATCACATTTCTCCTGCTTGTGTTTCATGTAACAGGGCCCTGCGTCTCGATGTTGCCGGTAAAGGTTTGATTAGGAGCCCCAGGTGTGAGGGAGCTCAGAGATCAGTCAGTCAGGCGTGAGTGTGTGTTTGGATGCGTTAAATTGAGCGCGAGTGTTTAGCGGTTAGCAAACATCTGCTCCTCCTCCGTCTGTCTCAGAGACACAGTAGAGAATATTGAGAGTGCAAATTCCTAATGGTATTTTTTAAAGCTCCTTGAAGGCCACTGCGGGACGGAGATGCTACTCTGAGGTTCATTTTCAAAAAACATGAGAATCTTTTCACAAAGGGCCCTTCCACATGGCAGTTAGCAGTGTATTCTTAGGGGCCGTTCACATATCGCGTCTTTTGCGCACTCATGTTCATTATTTCAAATGTAGACGCGCGGCAGGCGCGCTCATAATGGAAGCGATGTGGTCGCGACGCGGTGCCACGCGTAAATTTTTCCAGGCGCTTCCGCAAAAACAGGTGGATGAAAACATAGCTAATATTTCAAAGACAATATAAGAAATTATGAAATTGCATGTAAAGATGTACTTACTGTAAGTCCTACATAAGAGGATGAAAAAGCACTCTTTATTTTGACCTATTGAGTTTAATATGTAGGCTACTGTAGTTTCTTCATGTTGATATCCTGAAATACATCACATTACAGAAATAGGTTTTAAACACCATTTCATTTTGACTTTAAGGCAAGAAACGTACACCTGTACACACGCACAGACACACAAACACAGACACACACACACACACTCAATCAGAGGCACTAGCTCACACCTGGTTGCACAATTTCAATGCACTTACATTTCGCTGTATAATTTACAGATGAATGCACATGTAAGTAACACACTCTCACATTCCCTAGTATTTTTTATTCTATAGTCAGACTTGCATCACCTCCCTCTGATTGACTCTTTTCCAAGCACACACACATACACACATGCAGCCAGATTCCCATCTCTCAAATCTCCCCTTCCACAGAGAAGCACAAGGCGTGCTCTTTATCGCTGCTTTACTCCCTGCCATCTTCAGATGCGCTTTTCCAATGCAGCGGCCAGGAGAGGCAGGAACCTGGGGCTAGGGAAATATGCGCGTCCTCTTACTGCCCCTGTTTCAGATTCACACCAGCAGCTTCCCCATGCAGAGCGGAGCCTGTGGAAGCTGTCGGGCAGGGAGGGACTTGGCTCTGTCCATCAAAGAGCTTGCAGGCTTTGAAAGAGCAACGCGAGTTTGCTGGAGGGCCATCTAGTGGTCAGAGCTGTACTGCATCGCTTTCAACACCTGGGAGTAGTCAGCTGTTTATTACTGTAAAACACCAAATTTAATTTAATATCTGGCATCCATCAGTTAGAATTAGATCTAATGTCATTCCATCTGAGTCTGCCAACAGGAAATATATTAACTAAATATCTAAAATATATTAACCTTTGCTGCCAGAAAAGCTATTTATTGTGGCAGATTAGTGATTGAGTATATATACTGTATATATATATATATATATATATATATATACACACACACACAAATCAAATCATTTCTAAAATATATGGATGCCCTTTTTGGCCTCATTTCTTTCTCAAATACATACGTAAATGTAAGATTGATGTATTTAATAAGATTTCCATTTACGCAGTTTTAACATAAACTAATAAACTATTTATCACTCATACATAAATAAATCAGATTAGAATTATTTACTAAAAAATTATGGCATAGTTTATTAACCATTTGCTTCTATTTGGTTTAATTAAGTAATCATATTTTCAAAATGCATTTATCCTAATTGTTTAGTCAGCATAAATCTGTTCATCATGAAAATAATTACATTTATTCAGTTATGAACGTGATTAAACATAACTGTAAAACAGATTGGATTTATTGATGATAAATACATAACCTAACCTGGTTAGTGTGTATTGAAAACACATTCAGTCTATTACAGAAATCTTACCTATTTCTTTCCTTTTTCATTTATGTATAACAGGCAAATATGCATCATATTAAGTTTATTATTTTATGTAAAAATGTTTAAAATGGCTATTTTTTAAAAGCAATTCAAATACATAAATCTTAAACTAGGCCTAAATAATTTTTGCATGTACCATTTTATCATAAGAGTATCATAAGAATAAACTTGATTTATTTAGATGTTTTTGTATTTATTATTTTATATATTTAGCATATCTGTTCGTGCTTTTTATTTCTTTCTTTTATTTGAGCTGTTCCTTCAGATTGTGGAAAATATGGGAAATAATGTTTCAAAAAAACAAAAAACTATTACCCAAAAGTAATAAGTATCACCCAAGGCTGCTTATTCTCTGTGCTGCTGTGCTCTTAAAGCACATTGTCTCCTTCCATGTTGGCTGTGATTGGATTATCTTAAGTGAAGTCACAGGGTGGGTGAAAAACACTCCTGAAATATCCCGGCCATAACGAGAAGATTCAATCAGACAGATTTAGGGTGGTGTTGGGACTCCAATGCAGCACATTGTGGCCAGTGTCATGGACGTTTCAGAGCAGATGTGCTCGTATAAGAGGCTCTCTGTTTCTCCAGCAGGCATGTAAAAGCTCTCTTTCCAAGACACTCCTAATGATCATTATTATAGTGTTCATGGCATTCTGATTAATATTATTCCCCTCCTAAACTATGACATGCCCCATTTACCCTCAGATCGCAGTTGGTTTTAAAACACGGAGAAAACTAAGCGGACAGTATGCTTTTGATTAAAGGGGTCATATGATGCTTTTTTAAAGATCATTATTTGGTGTAACAGAATATGTTGACGTGCTTTAATGTTCAAAAAACACATTATTTTTCAAATACTGTACATTATTGTAGGTCCTCTATGCCCCGCCTCTCTCAAACGCTTCGTTTTCTACAAAGTCCCTCCTTCCGACAAGCGCAGTCTGCTCTGATTGGCCAGCTGACCCAGTGCATTGTGATTGGCCGAACACCGCAAGCACTCGTCGGAAATGTAACGCCCCTTACCATAATCGCGAGCTTCATCTTTCAAAATAAATGTAAAGACAGTAAATTATGTAATTAGTTTACAACTGCAGCAGTGGAGGACTATTATTCTGCTGTGTGATACTGCGGAAGAACTGATGACGGCACAGTTTGATCTTCGGTTGACCAATCAGCAGAAAGGGGCGTTTAATTCCCGCCCACATGTAGAAATCAAATATTCAAGCTGTTTATTAATTTTTCCACCCATGAACGAAAAACGAAAATTTAAGCTGAATTCTCTTTTTTTCGTTTTTTGGAAAAAAACGAAAAAGGAGCCGTTTTCTAATTTTTCTACTTTCAATATTAAATCAAAAAACGAATGATCGAATGATACACGGATTTTATTGCTTTATTAGAATGATTTCTGAAGGTTCATGTGTCACTGAAGACTGAAGTAATGATGCTGAAAATTAGGGATGTAACGATTAACCGTGAGCTGGTTGAAAATCGATTAAAATATGTGATGATTCAAATCGGTTGAGATGCTAAACAAATCGCGATTCATTTAGGTGTAGGAGTTTATATGAATGCATGTCTGAGGGGAACTTACTGTCTTTAGAAAAGTGTAGATTGTATTTTTTCTTTTCATCTTGCCTCTGTATAATGCATATTAAAGTTCATAAGTGCAGCGCTGCTTTGTTTACAGCGGAAACCAAGGAAATGCTTTAAGCGCCACCTGCTGGCAGAGAGTGAATCTGCATCTCGTTCAGCTCTGCTGTTTCATGCAGATATTTTTATGTATAGTTTCAAACCATTATATAGTTTCAAACCATAGAGGTCAAACCATTCTGTTTTTGCTTCTGCTGTTTCATGCAGATATTTTTATGTATAGTTTCATAAAACTGAGGTCAAACCATTCTGTTTTTGCTTCAGATTTCGAAACTTTACAATCTAAATTAGTTTAAAAACTGCTCATGTTGCACGTATGCAGCATCTTTGTTTGGATCAAGATTAAAATGCAGTGGTTGCCTCTAATTTTAAAAGGGAAGAGCAAAGACAAAGCCTTATTTTGTTTATATGAAGATATTTATTTTATTTGTGTTACTTATTTATTTGATTTGGGGCTTGTTTTAAATTTTGTTTTGTTATTTACATTTACAATTATATTTAAATTTTGTCATTTAGCAGACGCTTTTATCCAAAGCGATTTACAAATGAGGACAATAAAAGCAATCAAAACCAACAAAAGAGCAATAATATGCAAGTGCTATATTAGTATATTATTATAGTGTTATATTTCAATTTCACAAAGAAATGTGCAGCATTTTGTCCAAGCAAAAATAAAAGGACACATTTAATTTATAATTTGTCTTAAATCTCATTTTGTTAAAAAAAAATTATAATAATCGTGAATCGAATCGAATCGTGAGTTGAGTGAATCGTTACATCCCTACTGAAAATTAATCTTTGCATCACAGGAAATTTTAAAGTTAGGAAGTTAAAAGTAACAGTTAAAATATATTCAAATAGAAAACAGTTATTTTGAATTGTAATGATATTTCACAATATTATTGTTTTTGCTGTATTTTTAATGAAATAAATACAGCTTTGTTAAGCGACATTTCTTTCAAAAACATTAAAAAATTTGACAGAACCCAAACCTTTGAATGGTTGTAAATACTGGCATGTTAGCATGAGACACAGATGTTATAGATGCTGTAGATGGAGCTTAACTTCCTTTGCTGTAGATAAGCTAATTCCGTAGTTTCTCTGTGTGTCTCTGTACAGCTGGTGTCTGCAGACGGCTCTCATGGCTCTGATGGCGGTTCAGTGTGCGCAGACTCTCAGGCCGATCTGCCGCCCCCGCTGGAGAGGACAGGAGGCATCGGAGACTCCAGACCCCCTTCCTTCCAGTCAGTAACCCCTCTGTCCCGCACCCGTCTCTTTCTCTGTGTGTGTGTGTGTGTGTGAGTGAATGAATGTGTCTATTAACTTGTACACCAACAGACCAAAATAATGCATATTCAGTCAATATTAGTAGTGATGTACCAAATTCTGTAAAAGTTTTTTACAGAAACTGAAATTAAAGTTTTCACTTATCCAAAAACCGAAACTTTAAGTAATGTTTATGTATAATCAATTAATTAATAACATTTATTTAAGAAAATTAACACATACTGTAAGTAAAAACTGTTTACGAACATACATTTTTTTTTTAACTTTTTAATTATATAATTATGTTTCTACTCAAATGCTTTCCTATTTGTCATTGTTGAAGCAGGTAGTCACACCTTTAAATTAGTGGTCGACTGTAATGGGAATAATCAATTAATTAATAACATTTATTTAAGAAAATTAACACATACTGTAAGTAAAAACTGTTTACGAAAAACTTTTTAATTATATAATTATGTTTCTACTCAAATGCTTTCCTATTTGTCAATGTTGAAGCAGGTAGTCACACCTCTAAATTAGTGGTCGACCGTAATGGGTTTTTTGACAGCCGATACCGATATCTTGGAAAGCAGGGTGGCCGAACTGCAAAATATAATGTCATACAGATATTTTTTATATTATTAAAAAAATAATCAGTAGGCTAATTTCTAATGAAGAGACCAATTTATATGACAGATTTTAATGTAGGCTTTTATACATATGTAAACAGTAACTAGCTATCTCACAAATTTTTGCTCACTCAGTGTTTTTAAAATTTTACAGTGGGGTAATTTTGGTGCAGTAGCATGAGAGCTTGATTTCAAACTTTGAATTGAATAAAAAATGACAAGTAAGCAGTCAGTAATAAATTAAGAACAAATAAAGAAATTAATAATGATAGCACAAATAAAAAAATAACGACAGGCCTTCGAATTAAATAAATTGCTTTTTAATTTTTCAGGTAGGTCTAACAGTAGGGTTAAGATATTTAACTTTTTTTTTTTTTTTTACCAATTATCCAAATAATGTTTAGTCCTAGAAAGCTATTATTATCAGAACACGCGAGCATAACATAGCAGTTAGCAGATCAATAAATGAGAGAGCAGCGTTACCAGAGTTGCCGATATACCACACCATGTTACAGCACAGGGCTATTGCAGACAGAAACAATACTGTACTACATCGATGTATCCTGTCGCCTCAATTTTTGAGTGGACTTTGCTTTTCTGATGAGCTTGAACGGTATACGAGTGGAGCGACTGAGCGGAGCGCACACGCATAGAGCAGGATAATACGCAGAGCGTCACACCACGTGAAAGTGAAACCTGAGCGGTGAACAAATTTTCGGCAGCCAAATTTCGGTGCATCTCTAATTAATGGCGACATCAGAAATAGATATTATATAATAGCTGCTTTTTTGAAAATTTTAGCAATTTAAAAATATTAAAAAAAGATTTTTTACACAGCACCCCTGCTCTCGACAGACGGCACCCCGGTTGGGAAACACTGCTCTAGAAGACAAAGGATTTTTCACAATTAAATAAATATTTAATAAAAATATAATTTAAAAGGAAGTAAACACTGTAACCAACAGGGCACTAAGTATTCTGGGAAGTTTGTGTGCATTGGGAATCATATTTTTTCAAATAAAGCCAAGGTAACACTAATTTTACATACAGCACACAGTGAAAATGACATGAATATGACAGTGGGCAAATGCATAAAGCGCAACATAATTTGAAATCAGTCACGAGTTTAAAGTTTGTAGATCGCGCGTCTCCAGTGAAGCTGATCCCTCCTCCTGTCTGTATTCAATTCGCACGGACCATAGGACCGACCGTCACAGAACACGCGATCATGCAGGTCACATGCACACGTCACAAGATCTCAACTGGATTCGACTAAGTCGGACCATAGTGTGAAATTAAATGTTCATTAGTCATTCAAAGATTTGTTTAAATTGTTTAAATTAAAGTCCCGCCTCAAACACATCGGCCAAACAGAAAAACTTATCGGCCGATGCCGATATTTGAAAAATGGCAGATATCGGCCGATATATCGGTCGACCACTACTCTAAATCACACTACTGGTTGAGCCAGACCTTTCGGACCCACAGTTTTCACACCGTATGGCTTTGTTGTTGTTGTCTTTGAATAGTAAACTGGTATAGGAAAAAGTATTTTAACATGAAACAATTAAACAATATAAACCTTAGTGTGACAACAAAACAATACATTAAACAATAAAAACTTCAAGAAAGCACACAGTTTGCTAAATACCGTGTGTGATCTTGTCAGATACACTGGTTAGAGACCGGAAGTGCTCGGTGTTGACATGAACTCGTTACCCTTCGGTCTCAAAGGCACCGGTTTCCTCTACCGTGAACTAATCAGAGCCCTAACCCCGAGAGCGCTAACACGTCAGTACCCTTAATGACATCTGGCTGATCACAGGAGTGTGTTAAGAGGAGCTGTGCGAGTCTCAGATCTGTGCATGTTCAAATTTTCCAATAAGCCGGAGACCCCATTACTTGTAAATCTAATCAACTCTACAGGCCCTCAAAGAAAGACCTGCTCATCAATTTAGATCGATGTTTTACTTACAAAGGCTTTGTTTGCTTTAAGTGCTCATTTTGATGGGAATGTGGAAGTGGTTAAGAAAAAGAAAGACCTGGTGGAGGTGAAGCGTTATTAGGTCTGAACAGCTAATTGAAATGCGATACAGCCTTTAGAGAAATTGCGAAAGCCTGCAATTCAGTTAAATAAATAAATAGTCAAAGTTTAAAGTGAATGAGCGGCATTTTGTTTTGTCTTTTTTCAGTGGGGTGTATTAGGATTCTTTCTTACAGTGTTTTCACACTTGATTCATTCTTAGTTGTTTATATGATATACTGTTGCTATGATATCATATCCATTACATATCATGTACTATAGAAATATTCAAATCTTAAAACTGAATTTAGAAAACTGTACTCGCAGATAACATAATATAGATGAGATATAAGGCCACCTAAGTGTACTTGAACACTTAGAGACACTTTCATGACTTAAGTTTCTTAATACACTTAAGTACACTTTTAAAGTTAAAAAGCTATACTTTAAACTTCATTTGAAATCATTGTTTTAATAATCTTTTGTCATGCTTTAAAGAAATGTATTCAGTACACTAATTTAGCTGTGTTGACTAACATACTAAACCACACGTAAAGCACTTAATTATAATTGTTATTTGATATTACATTTAAAGATAAACTATTTTAAATGTTCTAAACGTGCGACTTAAAATATATTATTTAGTATACAAGTTTCAATAGAAATTACATTGAAATATATTTTAGTTTACAATAAACGCTTGTCAGTGCATTCAACAGTACACTTTAACCATACATTAGAAGTAATTATGAAATATAAAGATGTACTTAAGTCCTAAGTCAACAAAAGCACACTTAAGTTCATGTAATTGCATTGAATATACATTTTATATAAATTGAATTAAAATTCAGTTAACATGCAATTAAGTGTTACATTACATTCAGTTCACACTTAAGTGTATTTTTTAGAGTTTATTATTTCTGTATTTAATGCTCTTTTTAAAAGTATACTGTAGTGTCCTTGTTCTTCATAAGGAAAGGATTGTTTGATTTAAAAGATTCATTATGGTTCATGGCTTTATTACTTAATGATTTTTTGTAAAAATCCCTGTGGAGAAACCGAATTGGAAAAAAAGCTGCTGAACAAGGGCGGTTACTGTTTCGCTCTATTGGGACGTTAAATGTTTATGATTTCACAGTTCAAATTTCACACTCAATGTTTGTCAAAATAATACCCAAAATGATTTATTTTCACAGAATCGTGCAGCCCTTATATAGGTTTTGATGTTTTTTATTTTCTTGTCCGTATCAGTGTGTGGCCCTCAGGGTTTCTGGTTTTCCCACAGGTCTGTTTGTGGTTTGTTGGTCAGTGGGTCTCTTTATCTGCGTGTAACCACATGTGTGTGCATACTTGTTTGTCGTGCTGGTGTTTCCTGTCTGTGTGTGTGTGTTTCCTGTTCTGTCTGTCAGGCAGCATGACTCCCCTCTGTGTGAGTGTGTTTGCGTGCAGGTTAATTATTCATACACTGAACACAGGCCAAAAGCAGTTAGGAGAAATACAGCAGCAACCTGTGCTCGCCCTCTGCTGCTGATCTTCAGTACAAATGAACTCCTCACATACAGAAACACTTCAACACTGTACTTTGCCCCCAACACACAGGATCAGCTGACATTTATGCTGCCTTCAAATCACTTCAGGGATTTTTTTTTTTTGCATCTGAGTTACAAATTGTTATTAGCCATAATTAGGTTTTCATTGTGAATGTTTACTGCAGTGGTTCCCAACCCTGGTCCTGGAGGCAACCCAACACTGCACACTTTGCATGTCTCCTTTCTCTGACACAACAATATTTTATAACAAAATTTAAAGAATAGCTTTAAATCTAGCTAGAAAATGCTGCTCATTAAGCTTGTTTATGGCGTGACTGGCTAATGAAACACATACTGTCTGTGCATGTGTTCTTTCCAGTGTTATTTTAGTATCATTGATATACTATAATAGTAGTATACTATTATAGGAAAACACTATTAAATATATTATCTATTTTATTTTTGTATTTTCTGTTTTCACTTTAAATTTAGTTAAAGTTTTAGTAATTTTTTGTGGGCTTTTGTTAGTTTTGTTGTCATACGTCCATTGAGTTTTTATTTAGTTTGAGTTATTTTAGTACTTCGAGTTACAAAAATGAGAATTGTTGGCATCTAACTGAAATAAAATATGTTAAAGTTTTTATTTTATTTAAAAAAATAAATGTAAAATATATATATATTTTATAAATATATAAAAAAATGTACCAAAAATATATATTTATGTAAAAATATATATTTTAATAATATATTTTGGGCCATTTTTTGTTTAGTATATTTTCAAGAAAATAATAATAATAAGTAAAATAAAATAAGTGTGTGTGTGTGTGTGTGTGAAAAAACTCATTTTGGGGGCATTTTCATTTGTAAAAACAATATAAAAAATTGTATTAAAAATTATATATATATATATATACTGTATATATATATTTCTGTATGGGATTTGGTTTTAGTTTTATCTGACTATAATATGAATTACATGTTCAATACTGCTGTTCATCACAGTGATTTTGTTTAATTGTGTTGAATAGGTTGAATGTTGAGTTCATAGTCCAATGATTTACAAATGCTTTACGAATTGATTAGCAAATTAATCATTAAGTAAAACCTGTTTAGAAATGGTTTTGCTCATACATCATCTATCACTAATTGACTGAGTTCTCTTTAAAAAGCCTTCATGTATGAATTGTGTGTGTGGCACATGTCACTCAGCTACGTGTTAGTCACCATCTGTCTTCTGGATGCTCATCCTTCATCACTCTGTCTTCCTCTTTGGTCCAGTGCGAATGCCGTGGGAAGTCAGGATGACCTGGGCAATGATACCGAGCCTGAGGTGGGTCCATCGCTGAGAAGAGACCGAGAGCGAGAGAGAGTCAGAGACAGAGACCGAGAGAGGGAGAGAGAGAGGCCTCGTAGGAAAGATACACATGACCATGGTGAGTTTACCCATAAGTCAGTCCTGGCTAATGATGAGGAAACACACAGGCTTGTTTGATGAGTGTTGTGTGCTGCAGGAGGCCGGTTGAACGGTCACTCGCGGCCGGAGCGCAGGCCGGAGATCGCCGGCTACGAGAGCTCGTCCACACTGATGAGCAGTGAGCTGGACACCACCAGCTTCTTCGACTCAGAGGAGGAGGACTCTACTAGCAGGTGAGTCCTGCTCTCACAGACTTATTTCAAGAAACCAGTCATGGAGAACAAGCATTTCTCTTACTCTTTTGAAACGGATGTCTGATGTAGGGCTGGACGATAAACAATTTCATATCAGGATCACTTTGTCAATAATGTCAGTAACGATGATAAGCTCTTGACATTTGTGACCCTGGACCATAAAACCAGTCATAAGGGTCAAACCTTTTAAATTGAGATTTATACATCATCAGCTTTCCATTGATGTATGGTTTGTTAGGATAGGACAATATTTGGCCGAGATACAACTATTTGAAAATCTGGAATCTGAGGGTGCAAAAAAAATCGAAATATTGAGAAAATCGCCTTTAAATTTGTCCAAAAAGTCCTTAGCAATGCATATTATTAATCAAAAATTAAGTTTTTATATATTTACGGTAGGAAATTTTACAAAATATCTTCATGGAACATGATCTTTAATTAATATCTTAATGATTTTTGGCATAAAAGAAAAGTTGATAATTTCGACCCGTGCAATGTTTTTTTGGCTATTGCTACAAATATACCCCAGCGACTTAAGACTGCTTTTGTGCTCCAGGGTCACATTTTTACGCGATGTAGATTATTCTAAGAACAGAAATAAACACGACAACAGCCAGTCAGTGCATGTTGCTAGTAAGTCTGTGTAGTTTGGTCTACTACACAAACTCAAACACACGTGATGCTCACTGTGTTTTTAACATCTGTCATCTCAATATATGCAGACATAAACACATGAATTTCATCTGCTGTGAGAGTCACTTCACTTTAAGTTTAATTTGAGAAAAATTACCATCAAATACAAACATGAAACTCAAAGATCTTCACGACAAACCACCAAAATAAAAGTTTGGTTTAACTTTAAGAAATTATGACGTACGGTACATGTATTACTATTGTATGTTTTACTTCTCAAAATAATAATAGAATTATTTTTAAGGGAAATTCATGCAACCAAGATATTTTTTCATTCATATTTTAATTTATACATTTCTGTATACGGCATCTTATTTGACCAAAAATAAAAAGTGTGACAGTGTGAACTATGCTGATATTTGTCACATGTAAAGAGGCTAATCTTAACAGAGGTCATCTGAATATGGTCATTATAAAGTTATATATACAAAAAGATGAAGTATAATTGTAAGAGTCAGAGATATGTTTGAACTATACATGTTAATTGTAGCTTATGGCCCCTCATATCGTCTCCTCATGAAGATGACTTAATGTACTCTCAAATCACATGCTCTGGAAAGCCAACACAAAGCAAGGTTTTCCATGCTCTGATACACTACTACACTAATGCAGACGATTGGCTGGTATGCATCACGTGACTCTCAGGACCAATCAGAGCTGAGAGGACTGTAATGTGCATTATATGTGCACAAAAGACATTTTCAGGCTGAATATGATGTTTTGAAGATCGTGTGTCATCTGTGATGCTGCTACAGGTTCAGCAGCTCTACGGAGCAGAGCACATCGTCACGTCTCGTGAGACGCCATCGCCGCCGCAGACGGAAACCCAAAGCACCCAGAATGGAGAAGGTGAGACTCCAGATAAACCTCATGGCTATCAGTGTTGAAGTTTTGTCTCTTTAAGTGTGTCCTCATCTCTCGCTCTCTTTCTCTCGTTCTCTCCAGTCCTCGTCGTTCAGCAGTATAACTGACTCCACCATGTCTCTGAACATCATAACTGTCACATTAAACATGGGTGAGTATGTGCACATGTATATCTGTGTGTCTGCACCGCTCTGTTAAAGACAACATGAATGACATTCACTAACCACATTTAGTAATGAGACACGAACAGAAATGTAGAGCAGGATTTCAGCCTTCCATCTGGATTTAATTAGATTGTGAAAAGTTATATTATTAAAAGTATTAAACGTTGATGTGTAAGTCCATTTGAACCATCTGTGTTACAGACAGGCTTCATGGCAGTGAATTTTAACAGTGCACAAATCGAGTTGTAGTGAACTTTTAAATACACTACCGGTTAAACATTTGGAGTAGTTTTTTTTGTGTTATTGAAATAAGTCTTATGCTCACCAAGGCTGCGTTTATTTAATCAAAAATAGAGTAAAAACAGTAATATTGTGAAATATTATTACAATTTAAAATAACTGTTTTTTTATTTGAATATATTTTAAAATGTAATTTATTGCTGTGATCAAAGCTGAATTTTCAGCATCATTACTCCAGTCTTCAGTGTCACATGATCCTTCAGAAATCATTCGAATATGCTGATTTTCTGCTGGAAACTGTGATAATATTTGATAAACTGAAGGTTTAAAAACAGCAATTATTTGAAATATGTGACCCTGGAGCACAAAACCAGTCTTAAGTCTCTAATACATTGTGTGGGTCAAAATTATAGATTTTTCTTTTATGCCAAAAATCATTAGGATATTAAGTAAAGATCATGTTCCATAAAGACATTTTGTAAATTTCCTACTGTAAATATATTTAAACTTAATTTTTGATTAGTAATATGCAGTGCCAAGAACATCATTTGGACAACTTTAAAAGTGATTTTCTCAATATTTAGATTTTTTTGCACCCTCAGATTCCAGATTTTCAAATAGTTGTATCTCGACCAAATATTGTCCTATCCTAACAAACCATACATCAATGGAAAGCTTATTTATTTAGTTTTCAAATGATGTATACATCTGAATTTCAGAAAATGCACCCTTATAACTGGTTTTGTGGTCTAGGGTCACATATATATTTTTGTAGCATTATAAAGGTCTTTACTGTCACTTTTGATCAGTTTAATGCATCCTTGCTGAATAAAAGTATTAACTGCTTGAAATCCAAGATCCAATAGCACAAAATCTTTACCAGAGACTGTTTAATCAAGCAAACTAAAATAATAAAAAAAAAAAAAATGAAAGTGGGGATTGATTTTCTTTTCTTTTTACATTTTAACAAAAGTTTAAAATAAAAATGTTGCATTCTCACATTACTAAATCTATAGTCTGCTGTTCATCTCTCCATTTTGTTTTTCTCTCTCCCCCTTACTATAGAGAAGTATAATTTTCTGGGCATCAGTATAGTCGGGCAGAGTAATGAGAGGGGCGATGGAGGAATCTACATCGGCTCCATCATGAAGGGCGGTGCGGTGGCTGCTGACGGACGCATTGAGCCTGGTGACATGCTTCTGCAGGTTTGATTTATACTGTAAAATATTCCTGATCATGGTGGTTGTTTGTGATTTCTAAGAGTTGCTTGTTTTGTTGTAGGTGAACGATATCAACTTTGAGAACATGAGTAATGATGACGCAGTGAGGGTGCTACGAGAGATTGTCCATAAACCTGGGTAAGAAGTGGGCTTTATGATGTCCTGTGCTCTCATTATGGACTAAATGAGATTTAAATCAGCACTGATGTTTTTTTTGTGTATGTTCACATTTACAGACCCATCACACTGACTGTGGCCAAATGTTGGGATCCAAACCCTCGTAGCTGTTTCACCCTCCCACGAAGTAAGAGAGCTACTGCGTTACAGTGCTATTAAAAAGATAGTTGGTGCATATATGAAAATGAAATCACCCTGAGGTTATCCAAGATGTAGATGAGTTTGTTTCTTCATCTGAGAAATTTAGCATTAAATCACTTGCTCGACAATGGATCCTCTGCAGTGAATGGGTGCCGTCAGAATGAGAGTCTGATAAAAACATCACAATAATCCTCAAGTAATCCACACCACTCCAGTCCACCAGTTAACATCTTGTGAAGTGAAAAGCTGCGTGTTTGTAAGAAACAAATCCTCATTTAAGACAGTTTTAACTTCAGACCATCGCTCTTCTATCCACAATATTGCTTTCTCCAGTGAAAACGTCTTCAAAAGTTCAAGCTCAGAAAACAGTCCAAAAAATTCTAAACAGATATGTCAGTGGATTTTGTTGTGAGAGGGAATGGACTTTTTCACTGGAGGATGTGTTACTATGTTATTATGGATTATGGACTTGAATTTTGGCCAGCAATGATGGATTCGTTTCTTACAAAGATGCATCTTTTCACTACACAAGACGTTAATTGATGGACTGGAGTGGTGTGGATTACTTGTGGATTATTGTGATGTTTTTATCAGATGTTTGGACTCTCATTCTGACGGCACCCATTCACTGCAGATGACCCACTGGTGAGCAAGTGATTTAATGCTGAATTTCTCAGATGAAGAAACAAACTCATCTACATCTTGGATAGCCTCAGGGTGAGTAAATTTAATTTCTGGGTGAATTATTCTTTTAAACATGAAGTGCTGTTCGCAACCATTTCACTTTCTTAGTTAAAATTAAATCATTACTGTTTTTGACCTCTTTGGTAGCATCTAAAGTGACCAGGCATCCGTTTACTCCCCCCTGTGTTTGTTCAGGTGAGCCGATCCGTCCCATAGACCCTGCTGCCTGGGTGTCTCACACTGCCGCTATGACGGGGGCGTACCCAGTGTACGGTATGAGCCCTTCCATGAGCACAATCACCTCCACTAGCTCCTCCATCACAAGCTCCATTCCAGAGACTGAGCGTAAGTGTTTATCCACCCACCCTTCCCATAATCCACCTCTGCTGTGCCTGCCGTCTGTCGCCAGAGGATGACTTCATCTGCAAACCCACTGCTTACTGTGTTGTGACCGTAGCCCTTACCAACTGAGTTGGTCAAATGAAAATGAAAGATTTGTGAGTAGTCTTGAACAAAATACATGCAGTAAATTATACACTAAAAATTAGGCTGTACAGCCCTTGTAAAAAAGAAATACACTTTAGAATACTTTTACACATAAAATACTAAAAATAAGAGAATCTATTACTATGAACTGAATGTAATGTTTACACATAATTGCATGTTATTTACAATTTAAAAAAATGTATTATAGTTTAAATTTGTATTAGTATGCTTTAGTATGTTAGTCAACATATCAAAGTAAGTGTACTTCTTTAAAGCATGACAAAAGATTATTAAAACTATTTTTTAAATGCACTTTAAATTAAATTTAAATTAAGTGTTAAGAGAGTCATGAAAGTGTACTTTTAAGATTTAAAGTACACTACAAGTGCACATTAAATACAATTAAGCACACCTCTTTTTCACAAGGGAAATTAGATTGATTTGTGATGTCTGAGAAATCAGAAACTCCTCCTAGATCAGTTGATAACGGCTACAACATCTTGATGTTCAGAGCACGTCTTTGTAAGTTCACTCACATCTGTAGACTGCTGTGCACCATCACATTGTGCTTTACTCTGCAGGGTTCGAGGATTTCCATCTGTCCATCCATAGCGACATGGCAGCAGTAGCCAAAGCAATGGCATCTCCAGAGTCAGGCCTGGAGGTGCGGGACAGAATGTGGCTAAAGATCACCATCCCCAATGCCTTCATAGGTAAACTTGCACCCTCACTCTTAAAATTTAACTTTAGCATGGAGGTAAAATGCCACCAAAAGGGATAAACAGGTCCTCATAGTAAATTCCTCTTTTTTTTTATATCTGTGATCTCATGTTTGATGTTTCATCATTGACAGTATCTATCCATTTATACCTGTGTGAAAAAGAAGTGTGCTTAAAGGGATAGTTCACCCAAAAATGAAAATGAACTCATTTCAAACCTGTAAGACTTCCGTTCATCTACGGAACACAAATTAAGATATTTTTGATGGAATCTGAGCGCTGTCTGACCCTGCATAGACAGCAACGCAACTGAAATGTTCCCAAGTCCAGAAACGTAGCAAGAAGATCTGTAAAATAATCCATGTGACATCAGGGGTTCAACCGTAATTATACGAAGCTACGAGAATACTTTTTGTGCGCAAAAGAAAATTTTTTAAAAATAAAGTCGTTCTTTTTTTTCTTTTGCGCACAAAAAGTATTCTCGCAGCTTCTTAAAATTACTGTTGACCATTTCAGTTGTGTTGCTGTCTATGCAGGGTCAGAAAATATCTTAATTTGTGTTCCGAAGATGAACGAAGGTCTTACGGGTTTGAAACAACATGAGGGTGAGTAATTAATGACAGCATTTTTGATTTTTGGGTGAACTATCCCTTTAACTGTATTGAATGTGCACTTGTAGAGTGTTTCAAATCTTGAAAGTATATTTTTGTAAAAACTGTAATAGATAATATAATAATAATTGAATAAAATACCACTTATATGCACTTAAAGAGTGACACTTTCTTGACCGTTTCTCCAACACACTTAAGTACACTTTTTAAAAGTCAATTTAAATGTTTTACTTTAAAGTTGCAATCCTTATGTTGTCCCACTTTAACTACTTTTAATTACTATGTGTTAAGTATGTTTAATAATCTTAAAGAAGTACACTTATTTTGATGTGTTGACTAACATACTAAAGCACATGCACTTGATCATAATTTTACTGTAGTGTGATATTGGATATTACGGTTAAAAGTTAATGTATTTTAAATGTACTTAAGTTCAACTTCATCATTACAAATGTATAATAGCGAATATATTTACTACTTACTACCTACTTTAGTGGGCTAATAAGCACTCTTTAGTAAAAAAACTGCATTTAATATAAATTAATACAACTATTTAATACATTTGAATTAAAATGTAAATAGCACGCAAATGTATTATACTCAGTTCACTCAAGTATGCTCTTATAAAGTAAAATTCAATTTAATAATAAGTACTCTTTTCTAAAGGCTACTTCTTTTTCACAAGGGTGAATTTACAACCTCTTTTGTATTTGATTTTATTGGTAACAATCTTAATTGTTTTAAATAAGAATTAATTTCCGAGAATTCATTCAATTGAAGTTGGATGTGGATATTCTGCTAGTGTCTTCAGAAGTAAAATATTAGTTTTCCTCTCAGGTTCAGATGTGGTGGATTGGATCTATCATCACGTCGAGGGCTTTACTGATAGACGGGAGGCACGCAAATACACCAGCAACCTGCTAAAAGCTGGCTACATACGGCACACTGTCAACAAGATCACCTTCTCTGAACAGTGCTATTACATCTTTGGTGACCTGTGCGGCAGTGAGTTCCTGATCTTTAGTTCTTCGCTTTGTCCCCACTCTTTCACGTCGAAGCATCTTTTATTTATTCATTTGGAGTAAACTTTATTCCCTCCTGTTTGTTCCTCTTCTGTCTCAGATATGGCAAGTCTCACCTTGCATGACCATGATGGTTCTAGTGGGGCATCTGACCAGGACACTCTGGCTCCGTTGCCTCACCCTGGTGTAGCTCCCTGGCCGCTCACGTTCCCTTATCAGTACCCGATCCCTCACCCGTACAATCCCCACCCTGTGCACGACCCCAGCTACAGCTTCACTGCAGGGGGCGGCAGCGCTGGCAGCCCACACAGCGAAGGTGAGACTGCGTTCGATCAGGGGCGGAAATTAACCAGGGGCTTGGGGCAAAAATGCCACCACAATGAACAATGATGCCCTCCAAATTCAGGATATGGGGGCAAAAAATTGCACGTGCCCAATTAAATAAAACGATGATGAAAAATTATTTCTGGCCGATCATGTGACACAGAAGACTGGAGTAATAATGCTGAAAATTCAGCTTTGCATCACAGGAATACATTTTAAAATAACCTTTTAAAAGATACTAAAAGAGATACAAAAAATTTGAATTGTTATAGAATTTCACTGATATTTTGCCATCAATCATAGCAAGAAGTTCATCTTTAATAACATGACATTTTGGCCAAATGTCAGAAACAATTGGGTCCACTAAACTGTAAATGGATGACACCTAATGCGATGCACTTCTAATGCCCTTGTAATGATGGGCAAAACACATTCGGTGGTTAAAAACCTTGTAACTCCACTTGCGCTCAACTTTAGTAAAATGTTCATCTTTGACAATGCAGTGTTTAATTATTTATTTTTTTTAATTTTTTTTTTTTTTACATTTCCTGAAAAGTTATGAACGTACAAGGTTTCCGCCCAACATTGACGAATTGTAAGTTCTACTACATTTTTAAGAAACATTATAATACAGTATCATGATACACATAGTCTCACTATTAGCTATGATTTTTAGCTATTATAGCCTTTTGTAGGACAAAAACACTTTATTTTGACACGAGGCCCATAGAGGCGCAAGGCCTTGTGCGGTCACACACTTGGCACAGCCCTTGCGATGGCGATTGATCTATATATATATATATATATACAGTATATACACACACTCACTCACAAAGGTAAAGAAAAATGCCCAGGAAATCACTTCCAGGGGGCAAATATCACTCCTTAAAGTCGGCATGAAACGGAAGTTGCGATTGTCTTTTCTTCTCTACTGTGACGTATATCCGAGTGAAACGGCATCTGAAATGAGAGGGAGGGACTTGATTTCGTCCTTCGGGAATTGATTGGATCGTTGGAAGGTGGGGTGTTGGAGGCAGATCTGAATGCCAGTTTGCAGTTAGTGGGGGGGGGGGGTTTCTCTCCACTGGATTCACTGCTGACACCCAAGCATAAATAAATGTTTTATTTAATAAGGACGACGACGATGATCAATGGCACAAAACATGCCTAAACAACTCGCGCGCGCGCGAGAGAGAGACTGCCTGAATGACAGAGCGCGTCCTCCATCAGGTTAAGTCATATTCATGAAAAAAAAATTTGTTTGCAATGTCCTAAGAGTAATGTTGTCGTAATATCTTTTCAATGTTTAGGGGTAAAATCAGTACTATAAAGTGAAGCATCAGCTTCAGCTTTTCCCCGTCGTTTATCCCAGCGTTTACCCCTCACGTCACTAGCTCCGCCCTTGCGCCATAGCTTGTGACCGGAAGAGAAGACGAGTCGTTTTGAGGGGGAGGGGAGGTTAACGTTTTTGATTAAAGATTACGAGAGCACATTGTAACGAGAGGGGCGGGGCCAAGAGCCGTGGGAACGGAGCGAGGCCGGTGGAGTAATTGCGAATGCGCGACACCTGCGCCACTCACCGGTCTCGAGTCTCACGGAGGAGCTCCGGAAGGATACAAAGGAGGAGTGACGACAGGGAAAGACGAGAGAGGACCAGGCCTGGATTTTATTTTGTGTTTTGGTTTTGTTTGTGCGCGACAGTCGTCCGCGAGGGGCTGTCGCGCTGTTTTGGGTGTATTTTATTATTAAAGTTTCTTTTGAGTGTTCGCCGGTTTCCGCCTCCTTCTTCCCGACCTACAAACCACGTTACACACATGAATAAAAAAAAAAAATGAAGTGCATGGATAAATTATTTATAATAAACACTACAGTATTCCATAAAATAATAAGAATTTTGATTTCATGGTGACTTTAATGCCTCTTTCTGATCCTGTGGTCAACTTCTCTGCCCTTATTATATGTGATCCAATGACAAGGCGTATACATTGAAAAGTGACCGAAGAATTAGACTTAAACAGGAAGTCTCACTTTTCTTTTCCTTTCTTTCATTTCGCTCACAGGCAGTCGAAGCAGTGGCTCGAATCGAAGCGGCAGTAAAAACGACGCAAACGCAGCGGCTGGAACGCAAGAGTCTGGAGGCCGATCCGGCAGTGGCAGCGAGTCCGAGAAAAGAGAGAAGGCTCCCAGCGAGCGCTCTGCGGCGCCCCCTAGCGAACACAGCGTGCGTAGCTCACACACCATCCGGAGCGTCCAGAGCCTGGTGTGTGGAGCGCCCGGCCTCCCTCCACAGCCACAGACACAGCCACTCGTTACAGCAGCGCCGGGCTCTCCTCCAGACCGAGACCTGGCCTCAGTGCCGCCCGAACTCACAGCCTCGCGCCAGTCTTTCCGCATGGCCATGGGGAACCCCAGTGAGTTCTTCGTCGACGTCATGTGATGTTCTTCAGGTGACCCCGAGGGTCGACTCACATGCTCAAGGCACTGTGAAATCAAGAAAAAAAGATGAGGAGGAAGACAAGAAAGAAATGCATTAACATTTTAGTGGCTGAGTGTCCCTCCAAATGTCCCTCCTGTGTCCTGTGGCTTGCACTTTCTTCAGTGAAGAAGACTGGAACAGATCACGTATCCCATCATGCCCTTTAAGGAGACTCGATGCAGTGATGAAGGTGAATGCTTGCTGGTTTTTGTGTACTTTTTATGTACTTTAGCTGCATTTTTTAATATTTTGTCCTCTGACTGGTTTATTAACCTCAAGATATGTTTTTCAATCAAATATGAACTAAATTAAGCAGGAGAGAAAAGCATGAAATGAGAAGAAAGTGGGGATATCTTTTACTTCTAAATCATCTCTTGCTTTTTAAGGATGAACAAATCATTTTTAATGATTTTTTAAAAAGACAAACGCTATCAAAAGATAGAATCTTTGGCAATTATTTTATATTTATGGCTTTAATTTTCTGCTAAGAATGGTGGAGAGTGAGAGAAAAAGAGAGAGTTTTTGACTTTAATGCCTCTTTCTGATCCTGTGGTCAACTTCTCTGCCCTTATTATATGTGATCCAATGACAAGGCGTATACATTGAAAAGTGACCGAAGAATTAGACTTAAACAGGAAGTCTCACTTTTCTTTTCCTTTCTTTCATTTCGCTCACAGGCAGTCGAAGCAGTGGCTCGAATCGAAGCGGCAGTAAAAACGACGCAAACGCAGCGGCTGGAACGCAAGAGTCTGGAGGCCGATCCGGCAGTGGCAGCGAGTCCGAGAAAAGAGAGAAGGCTCCCAGCGAGCGCTCTGCGGCGCCCCCTAGCGAACACAGCGTGCGTAGCTCACACACCATCCGGAGCGTCCAGAGCCTGGTGTGTGGAGCGCCCGGCCTCCCTCCACAGCCACAGACACAGCCACTCGTTACAGCAGCGCCGGGCTCTCCTCCAGACCGAGACCTGGCCTCAGTGCCGCCCGAACTCACAGCCTCGCGCCAGTCTTTCCGCATGGCCATGGGGAACCCCAGTGAGTTCTTCGTCGACGTCATGTGATGTTCTTCAGGTGACCCCGAGGGTCGACTCACATGCTCAAGGCACTGTGAAATCAAGAAAAAAAGATGAGGAGGAAGACAAGAAAGAAATGCATTAACATTTTAGTGGCTGAGTGTCCCTCCAAATGTCCCTCCTGTGTCCTGTGGCTTGCACTTTCTTCAGTGAAGAAGACTGGAACAGATCACGTATCCCATCGATGCAGTGATGAAGGTGAATGCTTGCTGGTTTTTGTGTACTTTTTATGTACTTTAGCTGCATTTTTTAATATTTTGTCCTCTGACTGGTTTATTAACCTCAAGATATGTTTTTCAATCAAATATGAACTAAATTAAGCAGGAGAGAAAAGCATGAAATGAGAAGAAAGTGGGGATATCTTTTACTTCTAAATCATCTCTTGCTTTTTAAGGATGAACAAATCATTTTTAATGATTTTTTAAAAAGACAAACGCTATCAAAAGATAGAATCTTTGGCAATTATTTTATATTTATGGCTTTAATTTTCTGCTAAGAATGGTGGAGAGTGAGAGAAAAAGAGAGAGTTTTTAAGTTTACAGACAGGACTTTTAAAGTCTGCCTTACTCTTGGGGTTAAAATGAACTTATTAAAGCATGATGTTTTTTCATCTGTTTTGTTGTTTTAATAACCTGAACTGATGAATTGTGCACAAGAAGACCAGAGACATTTATTAAGTAAATCAAGTCAATTATGGTTTAATGTTGATTTAAAGAACTTAATTGGGAGATATTCAGTCCTGTAATGTTATTCTTTGTAACAGTACACCTGTATTACATGTGCTGAACCTGCAACAGAGTTTCAATGTTATCAGCACTCCTAAAGCAACCTAAAGATGCACTATTATTATTATTATTATTATTATATGATGGAGAGCAGCTCTCTTCACTCTCTCACTCTTCCTCAAACAACACAGCATTTAATATGTTAATGTCTGTCATCATTAACCATCAGCACTCTGCTTCATTGTTTCTCTGAACACCTTCCCTTTTTTTCTCTCAGATGCATTTATCACATTTTTAATTATTGTAAACAGATAGTATCGAATGGTTCAATTTAATACTCGCTGTACACTGTTTTACGACAAAACAAAACAAATTGTTTTATTTATAAATATAGTTTATTGCCTAAACACGGAGTGTGCATCTTTTCTAGTTTTTGTGTGAAAAGAAAATCACTTTTATTCTTCTGCAGTCATGAAGACATAACATAATGAAGTCCATTTTTTACATAATTCCTTAAAAGGTACAACCAAAGAATGTGTTTTCAGCAAACAGCCCCTTGTATAAAAAAAAAGAAGTACACTTTAGCACACTTTTTAAAACAAAATGACTAATTACAGAAAATATATTTTAGAAAAACATACTCAAGTGCAAACTGAATGTGATATCTTTGGACACTTAAATGCATGTTATTTACAATTAAATGAAAATATGGTTTAAATTGATGTTAAATGCAATTAGTTGAACTTTAGTGTATATCGCTGTTTGTAATTTCATAATTACAGACAACAGATGTTGTCTTTGAAATATGATTAAAGTATACTGCCGAAAGTGCTGACAAGCATTTATAATAAACTAAAATATACTTTAATGTTATTTCTATTGAAACTTGTATGTAATATGTTAGTCAACACATCAAAATAAGTGTGCTTCTTTAAAGCATGACAAAAGATTATTAAAACAAGGGTTTAAAATGTACTTCAAGTGTGTTAAGAAACAGGCATGAAAGTGTACTCTCTTTAAACGCACTTAAGTGGAGTTTTAGTATGAAGTACAAGTGCAAATTCAATACAATTAAGAACTTCTTTTTCACAAGAAACACAAGGGAATTTTATATATGTGCTTGTGGGGGGGAAGTCACAGCTAATTTCCAATGATGGGTTTTATTCTCATAAAGAAAGTTTTCCCACACTGATTCTGACAGTCTGCCAGCGTTTATGGGAGAAGAATATATTTCATTCTCTTTGGCTCTCAGAAGAGCTGTTCTATGATTTATATTTCCACTGTATCAAAGCAAGATCCAGGGACAAGCCGTAATTTATATACAACTCAGACTGAACACATGATAACCCTTCATTTGACAAGATGAAGCATCATCAATCGCACAAGTGAAAAACTTCATTTCTGGTCCCCCAACGCACACATCTGGAGTCAAATCCACTCTAACAGTCTTCAAGTTTATTTACACAACATTTGAATATTCATTAAGCACATGATGCCATATTTAGAACAGAAGAATTTTGTCAGATCCAGTTATAGCTCTGTTCTCTTGAGACATTACAGTCAGATCTTTTTTTAATGCTAGTGTGTGTAACTTGTTAAAATGCTTTCTCCTTTCATTTTAATGTTCAGTCAACTATAAGAAAGCCATCCGTAGGCTGACTTTCTGAAGAGTGGACACTGATGCTGCTGCATTGCCTTTGTTAAAACTTTAGGGATTGGAAAACAAATAGTGAAAAAAACATGTTGGTTTGAGCTATATGTGTAATGGTGTGCAGTGGTGTATAAAGTACCTGAAAGCCATACTCAAGTAAAAGTACAGATATCTTACCAGAAAATGACTTTGGTAGAAGTTGAAGTCACCGTTTAGAATATTACTTGAGTAAAAGTCTTAAACTATGTGATATTTATTGTACTTAAGTACGAAAAGTATTTGTTTTTTTATCTTAAATGTACTTAAGTATTGAAAGTAAAAGTACAAGTAAATGCAAAATGGAAAAGATAAAAAATGTTCATACACAGCTTGAGTTGCAAGATTGTGTTCAGTTTTAACTCTTTCTTCCATTTTGTATTTTTGGGTAAGAATAAGAAGCACTTCATCGGGTACTTAGTGTCTTTTATTCCAACATAAGAAAACATTTCTGGAATCTGCATCTGAAATAGCATTTAGATGTATTTACTAGGGTTGCAAAGGGGTGGAAAATTTCCGGAAACTTTCCAGAAATCCCTGGAATATTCCAAAAAAAATCCTGGAAAGTTTCCAAAATTTCTGGAATATGTCCGAAATTTACTGGAAATGTTCCACCCTTTTGCAACCCTAGTATTTGCACAGTTTATGTATCTCAGAGGGGACTTGAATGCATTTAAACTGCCGGTTTCCGCCTCCTTCTTCCCGACCTACAAACCACGTTACACACATGAATAAAAAAAAAAAATGAAGTGCATGGATAAATTATTTATAATAAACACTACAGTATTCCATAAAATAATAAGAATTTTGATTTCATGGTGACTTTAATGCCTCTTTCTGATCCTGTGGTCAACTTCTCTGCCCTTATTATATGTGATCCAATGACAAGGCGTATACATTGAAAAGTGACCGAAGAATTAGACTTAAACAGGAAGTCTCACTTTTCTTTTCCTTTCTTTCATTTCGCTCACAGGCAGTCGAAGCAGTGGCTCGAATCGAAGCGGCAGTAAAAACGACGCAAACGCAGCGGCTGGAACGCAAGAGTCTGGAGGCCGATCCGGCAGTGGCAGCGAGTCCGAGAAAAGAGAGAAGGCTCCCAGCGAGCGCTCTGCGGCGCCCCCTAGCGAACACAGCGTGCGTAGCTCACACACCATCCGGAGCGTCCAGAGCCTGGTGTGTGGAGCGCCCGGCCTCCCTCCACAGCCACAGACACAGCCACTCGTTACAGCAGCGCCGGGCTCTCCTCCAGACCGAGACCTGGCCTCAGTGCCGCCCGAACTCACAGCCTCGCGCCAGTCTTTCCGCATGGCCATGGGGAACCCCAGTGAGTTCTTCGTCGACGTCATGTGATGTTCTTCAGGTGACCCCGAGGGTCGACTCACATGCTCAAGGCACTGTGAAATCAAGAAAAAAAGATGAGGAGGAAGACAAGAAAGAAATGCATTAACATTTTAGTGGCTGAGTGTCCCTCCAAATGTCCCTCCTGTGTCCTGTGGCTTGCACTTTCTTCAGTGAAGAAGACTGGAACAGATCACGTATCCCATCGATGCAGTGATGAAGGTGAATGCTTGCTGGTTTTTGTGTACTTTTTATGTACTTTAGCTGCATTTTTTAATATTTTGTCCTCTGACTGGTTTATTAACCTCAAGATATGTTTTTCAATCAAATATGAACTAAATTAAGCAGGAGAGAAAAGCATGAAATGAGAAGAAAGTGGGGATATCTTTTACTTCTAAATCATCTCTTGCTTTTTAAGGATGAACAAATCATTTTTAATGATTTTTTAAAAAGACAAACGCTATCAAAAGATAGAATCTTTGGCAATTATTTTATATTTATGGCTTTAATTTTCTGCTAAGAATGGTGGAGAGTGAGAGAAAAAGAGAGAGTTTTTAAGTTTACAGACAGGACTTTTAAAGTCTGCCTTACTCTTGGGGTTAAAATGAACTTATTAAAGCATGATGTTTTTTCATCTGTTTTGTTGTTTTAATAACCTGAACTGATGAATTGTGCACAAGAAGACC